AGTAAATCATTATCAAATTACTCTTCAATCAGGTTCAGACTATCCACAAACACGAGGCACAGTCACTCTTACACTTAATGGTAAAATTAATACCGTTACAGTTACGTTTGATGAGTATGTATAAGAGTTTTTTTTCTTTTGTATGGTGATTGATTTCTCAATTCTAACGGATTATTTAGCGATCAAGCAACATTCAAACGTGGTTCTGTTGCAAGTCGTTTCATTCCATTAACTGTTGATATTGGTGAAGTGACAAGTATTGAAGTTAGTTTCAAGAAAACAACCAATTTAATATCATCATCATGGTATTCATCATCATGGACATTTACTAAAGCAATTATCCTTAATGGTGATAATCAAAATAGGTAAATTTCCAACATATACTCAATAAATAAACATTACTTTGTTTTTCTTTTTATAACATAGGCAATCATTCTGTCCTTCTCAATCAGTCATCACATCTGGCTCCAAAGTTCGATTTACTTCTTGCTAATGTTCTTCATTTGCTTCCACAGTTTTTTTTCTCAATAAAAATTTACTAAATTGCCATCAGCAGACAAGGTTTAAGGAATCTTTTTTTTTTTTATTATAAAATAAGAGAAGGTCAACTAGAATATATTAACCATTTTGCTGTCGTTTTTGATTTATGGTTCTACGAGTAAAACAGTGCTATTCCGATACCAATAAGTTAGAATAATGATGAATATAGAGATCGAATTCATCAAAAAAAATGATATATGAAGTAGATGTAAGATGGCCAATACATGAATATAAATGTGTAAAAAATAAATAATTTAGCATAAAAAAAATTTCTCATAAAAGATCTTGAAGTCTTTATAGAAATAAAGTTTGATATCATGTCTTTCTTTTGTTTTTTCTCGATATTAATGATTTACTAAGAAAAGCAGCATTAGGAGTCATTGTTTCAATGTTATGATCTACAATTATTTTGGAAGATATGTTCATAACATGTATCTTACGAATTAATCATCAAAGCTATCCGACGAAAAAAAAAACATCTATACAGGCTTTCTACTAGATTTAATGCAATACTTGACTTTCTGTATCGAAATAATTATTTAGATTAAAAATATTAAAAATTTTTTCAATGAAACTCATTATATTAATCTCAAAAATAAAGAATTATCGAACTTTGTATTGTATCAGTTTGAGATTATTTCGGAATTGTTTTTCAATTATATTGTTAATATTTTTTGATGCTAATAAAACGATATCTTGGTTTAGAAGATTACGTAGTTTTTCAATATTTGAGATATAATACATCAATATTTCGGACATAGTACAAATACAAAAAAAAAACAGCCATAGAAATAAATATCTTAATCCTTTCGTAGTTTTCAAAAGAACAAACGAAATCTGTTATCAATTACAAACATGATTTAATCTAGGTGTCTGTTTTTCTCAGCCAGGTACTCGCCCACTTGAATGAGTGGGAATCAATATTTGTTTTAAGCTTATTGTTTTATCGCAATTGGTTTATTATTTCCTGAGAAGGAAAGTCAGCAGGTAAGTACATCAACTAAGGTGTTATTTCGCATTATTGTTTCTTTTGTATGCCTCGTTATCTTCGAGGTTCATGCTGAGGAGTTTCTTCCAGGTTAATATATCTTTTATTTGAATATGATTAGTTGCAAAATACATAAATATAGTTTATGGTAAACGAGCATCTGATATTTGTTATCATGAATATGGATGTTTTACTACGTCAAAACCATTCGGTAAAAAATAATTTTGTTGTTATTTTATTATTTATTAATAATGTATGGCTTTTGAAACTAGGTGAAACATTACAATGACCATTTGTTTTTTTACCTGATCGAGTATAGTTTTATAATGCAAACTTTCTTATTTTTATTCCTCAAATCTTTTGTTCTTTTCTCTAGCGTAGTGTGATTGGAACTACATTCTATTTTATACTCAAGAGTTACGTGTAGAAATCGTACTGAAATTAGTCGTTTCACAACTCTTGGCTCATGGCATGCAAATAAACTAACCAAATTTTGCATTCATGGCTCTGTAAATAATATGAATACACCATGATGGATAGATATGTAAAATACTTTGCTTGACATGGTATACTCATCAATCATTGAAGAACCTTACTGTCATCATTTATTATTGCATATGTCTATATTTTAGGAATATGTTAATGTAATTTTGGTTGATTGTTCGGAAGGTAATGTATTTCTATATACAAAAGTGACAGCAAACACTTAAGTAGTTGGTGCTGAAATCAGTTTACTTATCAATTATATGATCGAGAATAACGGCACTAAAGCTGCAGATTTTCATGTTATTGATCATTCACTTGGTAGTTATATTGCAGGATGTGCTGGAAAACGAGTTGTTGGACTTGGAAGAATATCGGGTAATTATAAAAAAATAAGCATTCATTGACACGAAAAGTTATTTGAGTGTTATAGGGTTGGATCCTACTGGTCCTTATTTTGAAAATACTGATCCAGCTGTCCGTCTAGATCCAACTGACGCTTTATTTGTTGATGTTATTCATACTGATGGTGCTCATAATCTTCTTCTTGGACTTGGTATATACATATATATATATATAACACAATTTCATAATTACTTAATTAAATATTCTACAAAAATTTAATCTTCTTAGGTTCTCTTCAACGAATGGGTCATGTTGACTTTTATTCTAATGATGGTGTTGATCAACCTAATTGTTCAAGGACACCA